GGCTCATAATATCGCACACTTAGACCTAAGGAGATATGGGATACGAATTCAAAGTCATCGTTTTATGCTGCATCTAATGATGTGCAGATTGTTTGGATTGGCCACTTCGATTCTTCGACCATTCCCTTGTCAGTCTCAACCTATTCTTGCTCATTTCGATGCTGCAGTCCATCGAGGAAGTTCTGTGGCAGATAACACTGCTGCAAGGTGATAAAAACACGATTAAATATATACGCCAGAATCTCAGCCTTCTTACTAGATGAATCGACTAAATTGATGGGAGGAGGCTGGGCAGAGTGATGTCAATGTGAAACAAATTTCCATACCTCTTAGACGGCGAGTAACCGAAACGTCAGGCTGTAATAAAATGTACCATCGTGAAAGCTTGTACGGCACAGAATATCAAGTAAAGTCATATAATCGAACAAACACAATCAAGCTCAAATACTGTCGACAGCTGCCTGAAAATTTGCTTGGCCCACTATTTGAGCAAAATTAGTCTATCATAGCAGGTCCTAGCATTGGGCACCAATCTCAGTGCTCATTTTCGAACCTAGCCAAATATATTTCAGAGATGAGGTTTACAAGGGAGGTTCGTTTTGTCGACGAGGCTTTTCCGATGAATTGTATATCACTTTAGAGAGCATCAAATCTAATGTTGTTACTGTCAAGTGTCTTTGCATGCCGAGTCATGAATGTTTTTTAGTGCGAAGAATGAACACCACGAACTAGGTAATATCAAATGTTTTTTCAGCGCCCAGATAGAGCAGTGTTAAATATGAGCGTTCAATCAAAAAGAATTTGTTGAGTGAGATGCTCTGATGATAAGATTGGACCAATGAGCAATTCTGACAATTTTTGTTTTAGATTACGCATTCAATTTTCCAACTCAAGAAAGATCATAATTCAGTGTCCAGAGGCGCTCGGCAGATAAGACAAAGTACTCTGCGTTGATACCACTGCCATTAGTTTCATATGGAAGATCCGCTTCGACCAAACGAATCACCTTTGCTAGTTACATCTTTTTGCATTCATCACAAAAAGCCAGTTTTTCTTGGCCCACATTGGTAATCCTACTTCAAAAGACCGATTGAAGTTAACACACTTTGAGTTTAGTACTTATTTGAAATGGCGCAACCTCACAACACCGATTATCATCATAAATTCAAAGACCAGCAAACGAATCCAAGCAGTGGCCAGTAAAACAATTCTGCAAGATTTCGCTGAATAGAGAACTTGTCTGCACTCTACCCAGATGTGCATCATTTTTATTTCTTAGTTTTATTGGCACGCATAAAAGCATGAAACTTGTGCAGTATTTTCACAGGAGGGAAAACTTAGGTTGTTAAAACAAAATTAGTATTCATATCACCATAGAGCCGAACCGCTTTCCCGATGCAGACAGAAATAACAAGTGCGCCAATAAAACTAAGAAATAAAAATGATGCACATTTGGGTAGAGTGCAGACAAGTTCTCTATTCAGCGAAATCTTGCAGAGCTATGGTGGGTTTCCTGGTCACCTCACTAATCTCCAGACTCAGTCCGGCTGGTTGATGTTCCCTCTGCGCAAACTCACACATTCGCAGTTGTCACCCGCAGGTCAAAATGTTGTGAATTCATTGATCAACTGCGCGTCAAACGAAATCGGTGTCGGGGCAAAATCGGGACACTTTTTGCATCGGGGCAAAAGTGCGAGGCATTCTTCGGTCATATCAAAGGTGAGTACTCTGCGTTGATACCACTGCTTT